GTCGGACACGACTGGCCCGTACGGGCAGGGGGTACCTTTACCTTTACCTTGAGGCAGGGGCTGGACATGTCAGCGCGTGAGTCCTTTTCAGTTCTGTGAAATGCTGGCCAGATGTGACACGGCCAATAATAAGCCAATAATAATAATTATTATTCATTTTGAAGTATTGATCCACTTTGTCAGGCATGACTATGGAGGCCTGAAAACTGCTCGCAACTGAGCAGAAGCAGAGCCTGCCGTACAAAGGATACTCCCAAAGCCTATAATTGAATTGCTGGTGGTGTGGAGTGGCAGAGAGAGAGAGCTATCTGCAGAAAGATAGCATTGTGTACCTGCCTGCTGTTCTGCCTTTAGCCTGTGCTGTCAGCTTATCCCTTTGATCACCCAGGCATTCACTAAATATACACATTTATTCTTCTCAAAAGACATGCTCTGTGCGGAGATGTCTGCATTTTGTCAGGTGACTGTAGCAGGGAAGCAGAGTCTGATGCTGTCATGTACTGGAGCTAAACTGAAGATGCCAACTCACTTATCTGCTGCCTGACTTTCCAGCTTTCAGGCAGAAGTGGCAAGGTGAAATGGCCACAGAAGCAGGTGGCTTCTGGACTTGATGAAGGTATCAGTCGATGGGAGACGATCAGTTCTAACTCGGGACCCCAGGGCATTTGTGGAATGAAAAGTTACGAGATTTCAGCGAGACGTTACAAAATGTGCCTTGGAAACAAAGCAGTTAGGACTGCCCCCCCCAAAAAAAAATGTTTGCTGGTGCAAATAGCCTCAAAAGCAGGACTGTGTCTGAGTGGCCCAATAGTATCATGAACACAAATCATAATGAATGCACAATAAAATGTCTTCTGCAACTTCCCTGAGAGAAAGTGATGTGACTTTCTGAATGCTGAGACAGGTATGTTACCTTGTGGGAACTTTTCCACTTGGAAAGTGCAATTTGAAGGTGTATTTGAAGGTGGTGTGGGAGCTTCCAGGTCCCCAAACTCCCTTTCAGCTAAGATTAAAAAATCAGGTACTCAGGACTAGGGATAGGCAAAACGGTTGATTCCAGTTTCTCATTTTCCCCATCTTCTGTTCAGTTCTCCACATTTCCACTTCAGCTTGTGTGTGTGTTGTGTGTGTGTGTGTGTGTGTGTGTGTGTGTTTAAAAAATAGTCCTCATTAGCATTTTAGCATGAATTTCTCTTAATATACACATTTTTAATTGCAATTTTGCCTAGCAAACACGTTTTTGTCAGCAAATCTCCCTTATGAAATGCATTTTCTATGTATCTTCATAAATACATGTATTTTTTATGTACACTTTACCCTACTATATAGAGTTTTGTACACATTTTGAAGGATGACAATGTTTCAGGCATCATGAGTTAGGTCAGTTGGCCTTTCTCTACAAATCAAACCAAATTTCTCCCTCATCTCTATTCATTTATTCCATTTCTATCACATCTTTCCCTCCAAGGAACTCAAGATGGCGTATATGGTTCTCCCCTTCCTCATTTAATCTCCACAACAATCCTGTGAGGTGGGTTAGGTTGAGGGTGAGTGACTGATCCAACCTCACCCAGTGAGCTTCATGGGCCGGATGGGGATTTGAACCCTGATCTCCCAGGTTTTAGTCGGACACTCTATTTATTTTATTTTTGGTATAATTTTATTTGGTTTTATAAGTATAAAATTATAACAATACAATCATACACATCCATATTTAAAGATTCCTCCAAATTTCTGGACTTCCCACCTTCTATTCCATCGGTCCTATTGTTAACCTTTTCTACTGCATATTTTTCAATAGTCCATATTTTATATCACTCCATGGTCTCCATAATATTTGCTACATAACAAATGTTACTGCAATCCTGCTAATGTTTTCATCTGCTTACAGTGAACTCCAAGATAAATTATAAATTTTCCCATTCTTTGTTAATAATAATAATAATAATAATAATTTATTATTTGTACCCCACCCATCTGGCTGGGTCTCCCCAGCCACTCTGGGCGGCTTCCAACAAAGATTAAAAATACATTAAAATGTCACACATTAAAAACTTCCCTGAACAGGGCTGCCTTCAGATGTCTTCTAAATGTCAGGTAGTTGTTTATCTCTTTGACAGCTGATGGGAGGGCGTTCCACAGTTAAAGTTAAAGTTTTGGTCTTCTTGGTTCCTGAGCTTTCCGGTCAGTTTTGCCATTTTGGCATAATCCAACAGTTTAATTTGCCATTCTTCTCTGGTAGGAACTTTATCTTCTTTCCATCTCTGGGCTAGTAGCCTCCATGCTGCTGTTATCGCGTACATAAAAAGTCTTTTCTGCTTCCTTGGAATAGCAGCACCTTAGTCTGACTCTCTAACCGCTGTACTGCAGGAGTTATGTGTCCCCGCAATGCTATTCCTTGTCCCCTTATTCCCCTTCCTGTTCCCCTTCTTGAAGCAACGGTAGCAAAAGCTGAAAGGAAGGTGTTTCTCCCCCCCCCCTTTCTCTCTGCATCTCTCTCTTACTGCATTCAGATGGCCCTTCACTCCGTCTTCCCATTGCTTCCTTACCTGTTAATTTGTATGTTTTATGGACATTTCACATGATGTAAAAGCCACTTCTGGAAATCTAGTGGATGTTTATCACTCATTTCTGTGCTAATTGTTTCCAGAAAGAAATGTTTGCAGCCCCAGTGGGAGTGTGCACAGAATTACCTAAGAGGCTTGTTGAGTTCATGGTAGGGTTTTGCTCCATGTAACACATTGTTTCAGTGCAGCATAATAGGTGTGAAGGGAGAAATGTCTGGTGCAACTTCCTTCCCATCTGATCTGTAATCTTTGCACAAGTTATCAGGATGAATGGCAGATAACATAATAATAATTATTCCCCGCCCATCTGGCTGGGTTTCCCCAGCCACTCTGGGTGGCTCCCAACAGAATATTAAAAACACGATAAAACATCAGACATTAAAAACTTCGCTAAACAGGGCTGCCTTCAGATGTCTTCTAAAGGTCAAATAATTGTTTAATTGCCTGACATCTGGTGGGAGGGCATTCCACAGGGTGGGCGCCACTATGGAGAAGGCCCTCTGCCTGGTTCCCTGTAACCTCACTTCTTGCAGTGAGGGAACCACCAGAAGACCCTCAGAGCTGGACCTCAGTGTCCAGGCTGAACGATGGGGGTGGAGACGCTCCTTCAGGCAAAGAGATAGCAAAGAGAAGCAGGACTGTACAAACCCAACACACGTGGTGAGCAATTGCCCTCAGCCATCCCGCTCTGTGCATCCCACTCTGCAAAGCATAGACTCATACAATTGTAGAATTGTAGAGTCGGAAGGGACCCCATGGGTCATCTAGTCCAACCCCCTGCAATGCAGGAATCTCAGCTAAAGCATCCTTGACAGACAGGATGCTTCTAATATCATGGAATGAACCATTTGTCAGAGAAATGGGAACCTGGGAGAAGAGGCTGGATCTAAGGCAGAACTCTCCACAGGAACAAATGCCCAGTAAAAATTCAGATAATGGTTTTTGTGTGTGTGTGTATGACTCATGCAAATTGTCAGTTAGGTCACCATTTGTCAGCACAGCCCCCTCTCCCAATCAGCAAGAAAAACCACAGCCCCCCCCACTGCAAATTTTTCAGCGGACTAGTCAGGTGGTCCATCAGTTTTCAGTTCTAGCTTGTACTTAGAGCTCAGGAGTTTTGGAAGTTCCATCAGGCTTTGCATTTTGGAGCTGCACAAGTCATCCATATCCAGATTAAATTTATTTTATTAACTACTGAGGGGTGAATAACGAGGTGGCCAATTTTTGCTGATGGTACTAAATTGTTCGGGGTTATTAAGAAGGAGAAGATTTTGAAGAGCTCCAAAAGGGCTTCTCCAAAAGGAGTGAATGGCAAATGCAATTCAATGTAAAGAAGTGTACAGTAATGGATGTTGGGGCAAAAAATAGTAACAATCATAATTTTACAAATATATGCTCTGAACTGGTGGTGACTCACCAGGAATGAGACTTTGGGGTCATAGTAGTTGGTAGCTCAATGAAGGTGTTGACCCTGTGCGCTGTTGTTGAAAAAAGCTAATACCATGCTAGTGATAAGTAGGGAAAGAATTGAAAATAAAACTGTGAACATCGTACCATTGCATAAATCTATGCTGCAAACGCATAGAGCATAGAGTGGTTCTGGTCATCTCACCTCAAAAAGGGTACTGAACAAGTTGGAAAAGGTTCAGAAAAGGGATACCAAAAAGATCAAGGGCATGGAGCCACTGCCATATGAGGAAAGGTTGCGGCATTTGGCATTAGAGCTCTCCCCCCCCCGCCATGGCTTCTAGCCACTGGTATTCAGAAGCATTAATGCCTCTGCCCATGGCTAGTAACCACTGATAGCTTTCTCCTCCGTGAATTTGCCTAATGTTCTTTTTAAAGGCATCCGAGCTGGTGGTCATCATCACTCCCTCTTGTGGGAGTGAGTTCCATAGTCTAACTGTGCGCCGGTACTTCCTTGCCTTCCTGGTCCAACCCCCTAACTACTCTAACAATACAGCCTTTATGGCTTTAACACCAAGCCCGCCCCCCGCCACGTTTGGGTGGCCTCATGAAAGCATTGCTCTGTGCGGATTTTGAATGGCTACTTTACCTATGCTGCCGGGGAGCTGGGGCGGGGAGAGAGAGAGAGAGAGAGAGAGAGAGAGAGGTGCATCCAACGTGCACTAAATGTATCTCAAACGCAGCATTTTGGTGTGATCGAGAGTACATCCTTTTTGGCTAAATGGCATCCCCGCGCGCCCTTCTCCGTGGTGAGCCAAAAGTACGGCACAAGCGATAGGAATGGCATTGCTGAAGGTTGCAGCTGCCTGGAGCCTCTCCCGGACTTGGGAGATGTGACATTTCTGGCTCGCAGCAGGTCTCTCCTTTTTTTGCGCTGGATGGAAGTGTCAGCGTCGAGGGCGTGGCTTGGCGAGGGCGCGCCCCTCTTCTTTGGCTCCTGCTCGGAGAGCCAGCTCCGTTGAGAAAGACACTTTCCTCTCTTCTGCTCCCCGGCTTCTATCTGACTCCTCCCTCCTGCAGCTCTGAATAGTGCAGAGCGAGCCAACGAGCTTCTCCTTTTCTCCCCCCGCTGCTATAGTTCCTTCTCAGCCGGCAGCGTGAGACCGAGATTCTCCTTTCTTTCCACTACGGCACGTTTTCTGGTACCTGCTGGACGCGTCTGACTTGCAGAGCTAAACTTGATCAAGAGGATCCGGGACCCATTCAAAAACAGAGAAATCACGTTGCCTTATTTTCTTGCATCTTTTCCTCCCCGGCACTTAATGCTCCTTTTTCAAACCATGTGCTCTTTTTTCCTCTCTCTCAAGTGACAGCTTGGCTTGGCTTGCTTGACTGCATCCTAAGCAGGTCTCCAGGAAAAAGGGTGCTGGACAAGGGATCTATCTATGCAGTCCAAGAAACTTGGTGGAGAAGATCAGAAATTCACCGTGAAGCCAACAGTTTTTGTGTCCTCAGATGACAACTCCCAGAATTGGTGGGAAGGCAAAATAACACCCCACCCATCCCAAGAACCATGTCGGTCACTCTGAGCAATGTCTCGTCAAACGGGACGAGCCATCACGGGATTATGGATATACCCAAAGGGCAGAAGCCTTTGAATCTCTTCCTTTTCTGCTTGACTTTTGTCATCACGTTCACCGCCCTCTTGGGCAGCATCTATTCGCTGGTGTCTCTGCTGAGGATGCAGAGCAAAAGTACTGTATCCATGCTGGTGACTTCTTTGACGGTGGACGATCTGATCAGTGTGGCGCCAGCGACCATCTTCATGCTCAAGCATTGGTTGGATGAGATGCTCCCCCAGACCTTGTGCACGGCTTCGGCGCTGCTGTACTTATTCCAGGGCTTTTCCAGCAATCTGATGGGGTCTCTCATAGTTTCTTATAACTTCTACAGCCTTAGCAAGATGGGAACTGGCCAAGGGGCCACCAAGAGGCCGGTCAGCATGGTCTGGGCCGTTCTCACTATCTGGATGGTCAGCCTACTGATCTGTATTTTGCCTCTTTGCGGCTGGGGTAGCTATGCCTCCACCCCTTGGGGGTGCCTGACAGACTGCACAAGCTCTTACATCTTATTTCTCTTTATCGTCTACTCGCTGTGCTTCTGCCTCCTCCTTGTGCTCTCCATCCCTTTAATTTATCAGCTGCTGTGTTCAGATGAGCAGCAGCATCTGTACGACGATTATCACCAAATTGCCAGAGGCTATTTCTCCCCTGGGTCACCTCCGACTGGCAGTCGTCACACCCCTTCCCTCTCTCCGAAAGACACTGTGAGCAAAACCTTGAAGCATTTCCAAGGCGCTTGTCCAAATGCTGACCTCAAAGTTAGGCAGAGCCCAGTGGACCATTATGGACTGGATCGCTACGGCATGCAAGAGGGGCCCTACAACAGCCGAACCCTCACTGTGGAATTTGCTCAGAAGCGCTTTTCCCTGATTCTGGCGCTGACCAAAGTCACACTTTGGCTCCCAATGATGGTAAAATCAAACCAAGTTTCTTTCTCTATTTGTAATGTTCCGGGGGCTGTGGGGGGGGGAGTTTTGGATGAAATTTAAAACATGCCATTGAACACAGAGCAAATGAGGCAACTTTCCCATGTAACTTGCACTGGACATCTTCAACACCAGATAGTCCAGTTAAAAGTTACTGGCTTGTTTGCTTTTTAATCATTTTATCCTGTAAGACCATCAAATCAGCTACTAAGAGTTAAACGGATTGCCCATCAGAGATTCATTGCATATATTATTGTCATTTCAATCAAACCCTGTGCTGTTAGTATGCTGGCAAATCGTGTATCAGCAACTCTTAATTATTTGAGTTCGCTGAGTGTGCAAAAGCCCCCTCCATGTGTATCAGTGTCTTCTTATGGAAAGGGCTGGGCTTTTAATTGCACGTTCTGATTATCTAGATTTGGGTGAATAGATTTGTATTGAACATATGTTTTCATGGGCATCAACAAAGGATCATGCCAAACCAAGGCTCCAGCTAATTACTTAATTGACTCTGGTTTTATGCTAGGGTAAGCATTCTATGAATAAGCATTGCAGAGTGAGTCAAACAAGAAAACTACTTGGAAGGGCAGGCCAAGGGCTACTTTTTCAAGCAACTGGACAGGCTGTGGGTTGGCTGCATGAAATTAATTGGAGCATCTGCAGAATCCTCCTTTCCTGGCTCCGAGGCACACCCTTTGGCAGTGGATTGCCAGAGGCTGTAAAATGGAAAGATGTCTCAGAAGCAAAGGTTTGTGTGTTTGCTTATGGTTTTGTAAATAATGAGAGCTGCTGAAAACTGCTTTGCTTCAGGATAAGTGCTGTGTGACACCTGTGAAACTCACTCAGGGCCACACATAGCACATGTGAATGCCTTGGACTAAGAATCCTCTGCTTTAGGTTTTCTCTTCTTCTCCAGTTCCTTTCCCCAAATTCACCTTGACCCTGAAGCCTTTGAGTTGACCTTCAAATCATCCCCCCAACTGTGATTATGGTTGAATTTCTAAGCATACTTTCCTGGGAGTCAGCACCATTGAACGTGGTTCCCCCCTCCCTCTGTGGCCTCCTCACCAGTGAGATTTAGACTGTAAGGTTTGTGGCAGTAGGTACCTTCTCTTTTCCTTGCGAAACGGCACTCATTGATGGTACTGTATAAGTCATCTATCATCATTATCAGTGCCATCATCTAAGAGGTGTGTTTCTGTCTCCCAGCATTACCTCAAGTGGACTTTTATTAATAGCCTCAGGGTCAAAGCTACTTCTCTGCCAGAGCAAAGGCATCAATATTTATTGTTTCACTTGAAGCAACTGACACAGATGGGAGTTGCACAGGAACATTTGCTTCTCAGCATCTGTCAGGATTCAAAGTCACAGAGCTCGCCTTCGACAGATTCCAGAGGAACAGGAATGCTGGTTTCAAGCTGCACCAACACTTTAGAGACCAGCAGTGCAAGAGACCAGAAGCAAGCCCTGATGGGTTCCATGGGGCATACGCCCCGGTAAGCCTAACTGGCTTACAACCATGTATCTTTTTGGAGATGGCAACCTCATTGTGTATCTGTGCTTCAGAGCCAATGCCTATTGAGACCTGCATTCTTTTAAAATAGGGTTAACCACTGTGGTGCCCTATAGATGTAGCTGGGCTACTGGCAATGTTGGCTTGGGCTGATGGGAGTTGGGAGTCCAAATTATCTGGAGGGCACTGTGGTGTCCATCCCTGTTTTAAAATGCCACAAATATTACCCTGTTACATATTTAGAGTGTACCAGGAGTTATTGAAAATAAAGGCTAAGGTTATGCATAGGCTTTCAAGAAACAGTGGGCTATCAAAAACTGTACTGCAGCAGGTGCATTCCTAAGAACCAAGGTTTTAGCAACAACAACAAAAGATAATGAGCACACAGAAGCCATGCGATTCTAGAGCATGAATACAATGCAGTGAGAAATTGGAGATTGTAAATATACTTAATGGAACAGCCCACATAATCCTCAATTCAAACCCCAGAAGACACAAGCAAATGTGTGGATAAATTCTGTTCTGAATTCAATTATTCCTCATGGATTCTTTAAAATAAAAGGCAACTTCACACATTACCTTTGGTGTACACATGTATGATTCAAGGTGGTTTAAGTGTGCCTATGGCAAATGGGTGTGTACCAGGAGCAGGGGAGAGATGAGAGGAAATAAGACTCATGGCACAGAACAATGGCAGAAGATCAGCCACACACTGTATCAAGTACAGCTTGACTGAGGAAAGGCATGGGATTCTGGCGATCTTGTTCCAGATGCAAAATGCTGCCCGAAAGCCTTGACCACACCAAACTACTACATCATGATGGGAGATGGGCAGGAAGCCAACTCTGCCAACCACCAATGCTATTCCTGTGACTGTAGCTCTTCCCAACGGGTGCAGTAATGGTGATATTCAGAAACAAAAATGGGCTGCTCTATGCCCCATAGCCCCTTAAGATGTGGGTTTCCCAGTGTGAGAGATCATGGAGCCCTCCTCAAGTTCCTCTGGACCAAAGTTCCTGCCTAACGCCTTTGCATCTGTATGGCAAAATCACAGATGTGAGAAATAGTGCCACAGGGATGGTAGAGTTAAATGTAGGTTCATCAAACAAACTAGCTGCCAAGACAAGCCAGTTATGAACAGGAGAACATAAGAAGAGCCTGCTGGAACAGGCCAGTTCCACTGGTATGGATAAGCAGTGCTACTTCAACTAGGGAGGCAGGGGATAGCCATCATGGCTTGTAGCCATCAATAGCCCTCTCCTTCATGAATCTGTCTAATCTTCTTTCAAAGCCATCTAGGTTGGTGGCTATCATTGCCTACCAAGGGAGTGAGTTCTATATTTTAACTATGCACTGCTGCTGCATAAAGGAGTACTTTTTTAATCTGTCCTGAGTCTTCAGCGACATGAACCCTGAAGAACCGTGGTTTACAGGAAGAAACCCTATACACATACAGTATATCCACACACACATGCATAGAGCCATTTACAAACTGATGTTGATTGCATGTTGGCTGGGGAACGTGTCCAGCGGGCTTGCTAGTGTCTCATTCACGAGAGCGTCTCCATTTTATTACACTTCTTGTTCTTGTGGAGAAGCTGGTAAAATGTAGGCTGGATGTGGTTACTGTTAAGTAGATTTGTAGCTGGTGGAGTAAGCAAAACCAAAGAGTGTTCACCAATGGCTCCTCCTCATCCAGGGAAAAAAAGTGGGGTGCCCCACTGCCACAGGGTTCTGTCCTTGCCCCATTGTTGTTCAACGTCTTTATAAATGACATGGATGAAGAAATTGAGGGGATGCCCATCAAATTTGTAGCTGACACCAAGCTGGGATGGGTAGCTAATGTTGCGGAAGGCAGAATCGGGATTCAGGATGACCTTAACACATTGGACAAGTGGGCCAAAGCTAAAAAAATGAATTTCAATAGGAGAAATGTAAAGTTCTGCACTTAGGCAGGAACCACCAGCTACACAAATGTAAGAGGGTGGAGAACACCTGGCTTACTAGTAAAGGGACCTCTGGCCATTAGGTCCAGTTGCGAATGACTCTGGGGTTGCGGTGCTCATCTTGCTTTATTGGCCAAGGGAGCCGGCATACAGCTTCCGGGTCATGTGGCCAGCATGACTAAGCCGCTTCTGGCAGACCAGAGCAGCACACAGAAATGCCGTTTACCTTCCCGCCGGAGCGGTACCTATTTATCTACTTGCACTCTGACGTGCTTTCGAACTGCTAGGTTGGCAGAGCAGGGACCAAGCAACGGGAGCTCATCCCATCATGGGGATTCGAACCGCCGATCTTCTGATCAGCAAGTCCTAGGCTCTGTGGTTTAACCCACAGTGCCACCCACATCGGCTTACTAGTAGAACGTGTAAAATGGATCTAGGGGTCTTGGTAGACCACAAGCTTAACATGAGTCAACAGGGTGATGCAAAAGCAAAATAAGCTAATGCTATTCTAGGTTGTATCAACAGAAGTATAGTGTCCTGATAAAAGGAAGTCATAATACCACTCCACTCTGCCTTGGTCAGACCACACCTGGAATACTGTGTCCAGTTCTGGGCACCACAATTTAAGAATATTGGACCTAAGCATAGGCTATATTGCAGAGATGAAGAACCTCCATCCCAGGGGCCTAATTAGAAGCACCAAGAGTCAGATGCTTGTAACATTTGTATTACACATTCCATTGGTATGACACTTTCAGGCAAGACTTATTCTATTCCTCCAAGGAACCAGACTTACCAAATTTCAAAGACACAAAGAAAAGGCTCCTCATTTTATTCTATTTCTTATTTCTCTTCCCTCCTTCCTATAACCTGTGCAGAAAGTTGGTTATTTCTCTATGTCAATAAAAACAAATATGAAAATGAACAAAACAAATGAGAAATGAATAGACTGTGCACTCAGAATTCATTTGTTTGACTCTCTATGTGAATAAAACAAATGGGGCTCATTTTTAATTTGTTTATTTTAATGAATCCACACACTCATGCATCACCTGAGTAGGGCTAGAGTCTCACATTAAAGCAGCTGCTCCCACCTCACAAAACTGAGCCCGCAACAGATTGGACACAATCCAGCAAAAACATTTAAATGCCTGGTTGATTTCAGTAGGAGTATGAAGCGCATGCTTAAATGAACATGATTTATAAAAGCCTAATATAGTGCAATCATATGTATTTTGTAAGTTCTATTAGGTTCAGTAGGACTTTTTTTGCAGGTGTAGGTCTTCTGGCAGAAAGAACTTATGTGCATGCAATGGAGCTTTATCTTTCTTGCAAGTCTCTTCCAGTCTCCTGTGCACCCCCAAAATCAGCTCCAGAGTGTTGGGGGACTGTTGGGAGCAGATTTGTGTGTATATAAGAGATGAGACAGAAGTCCCATTGCAACAGTGGAACTTTGCTGGAGCAGCACTATCTACAACCCTCTGTGAGCAACTGAGAGATGGCGCGCACAATTTTCCATTTACCCTTGTATGGTTTGTTTGTTTTTATTCCTTTTACTCCTAGTAACAGACAACTAGAGTGTTTTTAATTTCTTTGAAATGCCTCTCTCTTTCAGATTCAAATGGTTGTTCAACACACTGTTGGGTTTCAAAGCCTCTCCTTTGAGATATTCAGCTTTCTGCTAACGCTGCTAGCCGTTACTGTCACCCCAGTATTTGTCTTGTCAGAACACTGGAGTCACCTGCCTTGCGGCTGCATCATCAACTGCAGAAGGAATGTCTACACTGTATCCTCAGAGGAAGGCAAAAGTAAGTACAGAAAGATGATGGGAAGGGACTGGAGGCTAAGCTTCTGATTCTGCCTGGCCCTGAACAACTTCCCCTTCCCAGGGAAAACTGTGCAGAGTTACAGTTTGTTTCATCAAAATCTGGTCCACATGGTGCTTTCATGTCCCTTTTTTATATTATGTGAATGGCTGTTCAACATGAACACTACAAAGCTAGGAATATGTGGGTTTCACCCATCGTAACTTCCTTGATCCCTCTGGATCTGTGGTAGAGCATTTCTTTTGCATGCAACAGATCTCAAGTTCAATCTCCAATGAAGGCTAAGAATACCCAGTCTCTGGAGCCCTGGAAAGCTGCCTCCAGATACTGCAAAGAATACGAAGTTAGATAAACCCAGTGGTCTGACTTAGCACAAGATGCTTTCCTGTGCTGCTTCGTTTGAAATCCCTGAGCTGTCCAGTTCTGAACAACTTGTAAGCAACCAAGTCAAGCACAGCCCATCAACAATATTGGATGCCTCCTCACTGATAAACCTGGTTTTTAACAACATATGGCTACAAGTGGGAGGGGTCGTCAAGTACTTCGGACCTTGTTGGGTTGAAATAAACGACAGACGAATGGCAAGTGTCATATGGGAGGCATCTACCGAGCATGTCTCAGGGAGTCCCTTTTATTGAATATTACAGCATTACCACATATGTGCTTGTTGCTGATTGGTTAACACAAATACAATGCAAGGGTTGCATATAGACATTAATCATCAATAGATTAAAGGTTGAGAAAGGGAACACAGAATTGGACAGGCATGAAAACCTCCTTATTAAACTATAACTAGTGATTGATATAGCAAAACTTAACTATTGTAACTATTGTATTCCGTAGATGTGGTCAACCATGCATTAAGAACAGGTCAGGGTACGATGTTTCATGGACTCAATGTGAACTGAACATTCTAGAGTAGGAAGGAATGCTTCAGCTTAGATGTTTGCCAGAGTCATGTGCAGAAGCAAAACTTCCCATCATCACCTTCAGCCTTAGTGTGTGGCTGGTGGAAGGGCAAGGCTGGTGAGGATGTGATGAAGGGGCAGGGCTAACAAGCATGACCCCACTCTCCCCTTCATGCAATGGTTAAGCACATGAGGAAATTGACAAGATAGAGCTATAGTGAAGGTCACCCAGTGAGCTTAATGACTGTGCTGGGATTTAAACATTTGTCTCACTGATCGGTCTCACTGATCCGAGTAACACTGTCTACACTGGCTTTTTTTTAAGGTGTAGATGAGAGAGCAGCAGTTTCTTTACTTTATTAACTGTGCCCCTGAAGGACCAGGTGCGCAGCCTGGGAGTCATTCTGGACTCACAGCTGTCCATGGAGGCACAGGTCAATTCTGTGTCCAGGGCAGCTGTTTACCAGCTCCATCTGGTACGCAGGCTGAGACCCTATTTGCCTGCGGACTGCCTCGCCAGAGTGGTGCATGCTCTGGTTATCTCCTGCTTGGACTACTGCAATGCGCTCTACGTGGGGCTACCTTTGAAGGTGACCCGGAAACTACAACTAATCCAGAACGCGGCAGCTAGACTGGTGTCTGGGAGCAGCCGCCGAGACCACATAACACCAGTCTTAAAAAGACCTACATTGGCTCCCAGTATGTTTCCGAGCACAATTCAAAGTATTGGTGCTGACCTTTAAAGCCCTAAATGGCCTCGGTCCTGTATACCTGAAGGAGCATCTCCACCCCCATCGTTCTACCCGGACACTGAGGTCCAGCACCGAGGGCCTTCTGGCGGTTCCCTCACTGCGAGAAGCCAAGTTACAGGGAACCAGGCAGAGGGCCTTCTCGGTAGTGGCGCCCTCCCTGTGGAATGCCCTCCCACCAGATGTCAAAGAGAACAACAACTACCTGACTTTTAGAAGACATCTGAAGGCAGCCCTTTTTAGGGAAGCTTTTAATGTTTGATGTATTAGACTATTTTAAATTTTTTTTTGGAAGGCGCCCAGAGTGGCTGGGGAAGCCCAGCCAGATGGGCGGGGTACAAATAAATTATTATTATTATTATTATTATTATTATTATTATTATTATTATTAAATTTATATCCCTCCCAAAGGAGTCCAGTGTGTGATCTTTCTTCCTCCAAAAGAGAGCCTCTCTTCTGGACTAGGTGATTGATTGATGCTTCAGTGTCCCAGCTCCATGTGCCTTGATTCTATGCATGTAACCTCAGAATCATGGCTATCTACATTTAAGAAGGATATCTTATATCTAAATGTGCACAGTGCGGGGCCATTCGAAGAGCTCTGCTGGATGAAACCAAAGGTCTATCTAATCCAGCATTCCAACAGGGGACAAGCAGATGCTTTGGAGAAGCCCACAGGGACTCTCCTGTTGTTGTTCTCCAGCAACTGGTCTTCAGAGGCATGGTGCTTCAATAGCCATTGATAAGCTTATCCTCCACAAATTCCTCTAATTCCCCTCTGAAGCTATCCAAACTGATGGCCATCTCTCCCATCTTTTGGGTGCAGATTCTATAGATAGGTTCTGTGTGAAGAATTACCTCCTCTTGTTGGTCCTGAATCTCTCAACATGAAGTCCCACCTGCAGTCTTTATAGGCAGCTCACGCAGAACAGAACATGTTTCAGTAGTTTGACCAGGGTTGTTACAAAAATCTTCTTGAAAATGGATCTATGCTTATGACGGAGATGACATTTGCTCTAAATTGATTCTTCCTCTGGATCTTTCAGAACCTGTTTCCCCAACTACAGTGTTTGCTGTGTGTCAAGAAGCAATTTGTTCCTGATAGTGCTTTGTAACAAACTGGCTCTGGCTCCGATACAATATTTACAAAGTGAAATATGTGACAGATGGCAAAGCAATGATTACCTAATTGTTTCAAAACTGAATTTTCCTTTTGTTTTATTTTTTGCCAAGAGCTATTCTATCTCACCAGGACCCCATGCAAAATATTTACCATGCAGAATTAAGCAACTTAAAATATAGCTCATGTGCCCAGTGCCAGAATGACCTTAATATATTTATTTAGAATAATTATAAACCACCCCCTCCCGTCCCAACATAACCAATCTCTGAGCACGGTACATACAGTACAATTAAAACTCATCCAGACCGAACAACCACAATAAGAAAACAATTTAATAACTAAAGCTGATAAAAGAAATAGATTAAAATCCTCAAGGCACAGATTCTTAACAACACAAGTGAGTTGTAAGAACTAAACAGCTAATGTTCTGCAAATGTCTGGGCAAAGCAAATAGGTTTTTTGCTTGATGCTTGGTAAAGAGGAGATGCCATGCATACTGCTAAGGCAGGGGTAGCCCAAGCGCCAAACCCTTGTCCAATTCCCAGGGGGATCACATGCCAGGACTGGGTGTGGCAAAAACTGGGTGTGACATTGCATGCATGCAGACACAGAAACACACATACACACCACTTATTGGCTGATCCATGCAGATCTGTGGGCGGGAGGCAGGTATCAGTCCCTCTCTGTTCATAAAAATGACTGATCTGATGTATCAGATTTGTATCCTCACAAGTGCACTAATCTCTCTGCATTCCAGTGATGTGCCTGCTCAGTTTCTTTGTTCTTTCTGCTGCTGCTGCAGCTACCCAATATGTAGTTTCTTGGGTTGGCAAAATAATTGCAAGGGAGCCCAGATCAGGTCAGTGATCTGGGGGTTAAAGGTAAAGGGACCCCTGACCATTAGGTCCAGTCGTGGCCGACTCTGAGGTTGGGGCGCTCATCTTGCTTTATTGGCCGAGGGAGCCGGCGTACAGCTTCCGGGTCATGTGGCCAGCATGACTAAGCCGCTTCTGGCAAACCAGAGCAGCACACGGAAACGCCGTTTACCTTCCCGCCGGAGCGGTACCTATTTATTCGAACTGCCAACCTTCTGATCGGCAAGTCCTAGGCTCTGTGGTTTAACCCACAGTGCCATCCGCATCCTTGATCTGGGGGTTAGCCACCATCTAATTAGCCACTAGCAGTAGAAAGGACCTTATAAAAGCAAAAAGCCTACACTATATTTAAGTGGGCTCTTTGGAAAATCCCCTTTTAGCTTGCTTCTGTTTCTATCCCACTCTGTTCCAAAGACTGGGAATGATAAACAATGGGGATGGGGAACCTGTAGTTCTCTAGATGTTGCTGAACTACAACTAACACTATCCCTGAACAATGGCTACGCTGGCTGCGACTGGTGGAAGCTGTAGTCCAATAACAGCTGGAGGGCCACAGGGTTCCCATCCCTGGTTTAAAGCTTTGATCCAGAGATTTTCTGCATGCAGCATAGGGCTATCCATATAATCCCTTGCACATCTAGCCTCCAAACAGGTAGATGGTGCTGTTGACTTTGAGAACAGCACTCACTTGCTTGGATATGTGGAGGTCTGGGGTTCATTCCTTCCACTTCTCTTTTCATTTGAGAACAAATGGGGTGGGGAGATGATGCCTCTGACTAGCAATATCATAAGCGACTTCCACAGTTCCCAATCCTACATCAGAAACAGTGTTGGATCCAGCCTGAGAAATGACTGCGAATGCAACTCCAATTTTCTGCATGCTTTTCTTAATTCTGAAGAGATGCTTCCATGTGCCTATTGCCCTTTCTGAATCAATGCCACAAAGCAGATGTAAAGGATCTGATTAAAATTAGATTAAAGCCGTTCAGATGCAACAGATGCTAAATGTGAAACCATCTGCTGACTTAAGCCACACACACCTCCAAAAAACCAGGCAAGATAAGATTGAAATGGCAAACAATGGATGGGATCCAGAGTAGGTTAGTTGCAGAGTTCCCACCGAAATCAGTGGGTTTTAAGTCATGCCTGTCTAGTTCCAACCTAATGTGTATAATTTTGCCTGTTTTCACAGTTCATTTTGTTAAGTAGCATGCTGCACTAGCCCTTGATCCAAGGTGTTAGATCCACTTACCTGAATTTAGTTCCCACTGAAATCAACAGGACATGTGACTTGCCTTTTAGTAGTCTTATGCATACCAACTCCACGTCAGCCAGTTCAAATTACACCCTGCTGACTATCCTATCATGATGAGGCAGAAAGTTTGTTTTCTGTTTTGCATGTTATCAGCTTTCACATGCTGGGTCCTCCAGAAAACAGAGATCAAAACTACTTCTAATATCTGGAAAATCACTCTGTTCTCTTCCTGAGAAAATGAGTCAGCTAATATTGGGTAATGTCAGATATAAGTTCCAGGTGTGGTGGAAGTAGCTGGAAGACACATTAAATCCATTCCAAGGTATATGTATTCAGGGCAAATAATGTCTTCACCCTTAGAGCATATGTCTGTCTTCATTTAGCATTGGTGTTTAAGCACTTCAAACATTAGCTGGTTTTTAAAAATATTGTTTTAAAGTGTGCAATGCAATCCAAATTTATCCCATTTTAGGGTATACGGTTGTTGTTTTTAATGCCCGTATCTGCCATTTGCACTTCCTACCAGCTATTTTTAATGCAAACACTTCTTTCCTTTCTTTAGCCAAAAGAAGAGGCTTTGAATTCAATCTGTCATTCCAGCAAGGTTATGGAATCTATAAGATATCTCATGACAACCATCACAGCGACGATGGCAACTCTATATCATACCACAGCTTGCTCAACTATGACTGCGAGAATATAAGAGAGACTCAAAAGGACTGCAACAAAATTGAGTTCAGCACCATCTCCCTGGAGGACAGCTCCCTGCTTAAAGAGAGCACCAAGTGCAAAAAAACTGTTGGTACAGACACCAAACAAGACCTTAACAAGGATAAGTTTATGGATTGCCTGCTTTCTGACAAAATGGGAACGTATAAAAAAGAAGAGGTGAGGAATATTGAGAAGTGTGCTTTCTTTGAAGAGAAGGAAAGAAGGCTTTCTCATGAGGAGTGCCGAAAACCAGAACTCTCTGACTGGGAGTGGTGCAGAAGTAAGTCGGAAAGGACCCCACGACAGGTAGAGTCTTCCTTGTTTGAAATCTTCTAAACGCTCGATGTGTAGTATGTGATGAATACCTTGCAGGCTTGGTGGTCTGTGCCTTACTTCTATGTTTTGCAACTTGAGCATCTATATGACTCAGATTTATGTGAAAAAGAGCCACAGTTGAGCCAGTGTACATCAGTTTCATGGAATGTATTCCTATTTATTTCACTGGCAATAAATGAAGCCCAAAGACTTTGGTTTACCAGCATTGCAGGTAGGGTAGAGCTATAGTAAGTATGCTTTACCCTGGAGTCTATTCTAGCAGTTAGAATGCAGAGAGAGAGAGAGAGGGAGAGAGACTACTAATTGCAAAGCTAGCATGAGTGTCATCAGCCATGGGAGGTAGAGAAAGTGCAAAATCATTATGGGATATATAAATATATCTCTTGCACAATATCTCCACTTCCTTTCCATCTCTTGGGCATGACTTTCTTCCATGCTGTTTTTCTTCATTTTTTTGTTTGTTTGATCATATGATCAAAAGCAAGGGATTTTGCTATTACCAAACCTGATTCCTTGACAGGTGGAGTGGATAAATGCTTAGAAGATAGCAAGGAGTTCTGCTTCCTTCTTTGCAATGCATCACCATCACCTTGAGAGGTGCCCGCTGTGCTTTTAGGCCATGTAGTCCTTGAGTGTACACAAGTCCTGCCAGAGTCTCCTCACTTCCATTTACTGTAGGGTTGCCATATCTCGAAGAGCAAAAAAAGAGGACAGCCCAAGCTGGGGAAAGAAGCACGTGGGCGTGGGCACACGGGGCCACCACAGCGCTCCTCTTTCCCTGGCTCAGACTGGCAGTGGCCATGGCGTGCAAAGCAGCCCACGTCCAAACCGCCCAAGGCTAAGCCGCCAGGCTCAAGCTGCTGCCAGCCCGAGCCAAGGCAGAACCCCAGCTCCTACCTGATCATTCCACTGCAGTCCTTCTGCTTCCAGGGCACAGTGTCCTCCCGAGCATGCACATGCCCTCCCCCCCCAAAAAAAACCCCTTAAAATTAAAAAACTCAGAAAACCTGGACATTTCCTTTAAAATGTTTTTAAAAAACCAAACCACCAGGTGGGCATGTTGGCCTCCAAAAAGAGGACATGTCCAGGTTTTCCCGGACATATGGCAATCCTTATTTACTGTTCACCAATTTCAGTGCCTGGTTGCTACAAACCACCATCTCTCTTTCTCATCTTCTAATTGAAATAATCATATTTCCTCATGATCAGGGTGTAGTGGTGAGTGCAGGAGCACATCATTACAGTCCCCATAGCAGTCATCTGGGTTCCTCCACTGTTAGACACCCCCACCCCACAGTACACACCCAATTTATTAGAAACTGCATTGCACTCAGTGGGGCTTTGTTCTGAGTGCATTGGTTCAACTTATAAACCACATGGAGCTGCAACACAACTTGTAGCTTGCAATTAGAAATGCAGACAATTCCGCAAAGAAGTGTGGATCCATGAGCTAGGATGAATTAGGAACTCCATCAAAGGAAAGGAATATCCAGACTCTGCTTGATTCTTTTCCTCATCAACTGACTTCTGATATGCTAACCTGTCACAAACAAACTTGAAAGTCTCATCATCACCTCATTCACTTGTCAGAGCAAAGACACTGTCAATTGCCCTGAAACTCTGGTGGATGATGTCATCATTCCTGCTGTGAAAAAAAGCCTTCGGGTTGCACTCCCTGCTCATTCACCACCCCACGCCACCCTCTCTCTGGATCACATCACATAAAAGTAGCTTCTATGCAGTTTTTTTTAATCCAAAATTAAAACAAAACATATTATCCAGAAACATATCATCCTTATTCCCCCCCCCCATTTTTCCTGAAGTCTCTCAGCCCCACTCACCTCACAGAGTGTTTGCTGTGGGGGAGGAAGGGAAAGGAGAATGTTAGCCGCTTTGAGACTCCTTTGGGTAGTGATAAAGCGGGATATCAAATCCAAACTCTTCTTCTTATTCTTCCCTCAGTTCCAGTCTTTGATTTCTCTAAGAATGCTGTTTTCTGCATGTTACACATTTGCAGAGATCCTCAAACTATTTACCTGAATATCATCAATAAAAAGTTTGTGAATGTTTATTCAAAGCCAGCTAAGGAGTCCAGTTCGCTTTGTTGCGTCTTCAAATACTTTGTAAAGAGTTCCCATTCATCTTTAAAGTCACAGTTATCCTTGTCCCGTAGCTTATATGTCAATTTTGCCAGTCCTCATAGTCCATCAATTTTTCTTGCCATGATTCTTTAGTTGGGGTTTCTTCAGTATTCCATCCTTGTGCTATTAGAACTCTCGCAGCCGTTGTCGCATACATGAAGATGTTTTTCAGCTTTTTTGGCAGATCTTTCCCTACAATCCGTAACAAAAATGCTTCAGGTTTTTAAACAAATGTTAAATGGAACATTTTCTTCAACTCATTGTGTATCATTTCCCAAATTTTTAAAATTACATTACAATCCCACCACATATGATAAAATGTCCCTTCCTTTTCCTTACACTTCCAACATATATTTGAACTAGTTTTGTACATTTTCCCTAACTGCACTGGTTTTGTGTACCATCTGTACATCATCTTCATGTAATTCTCCTTTGATAGGGAACAATCAGTAAATTTTAAATCAGTTTTCCATAATTTCCATAATTCCATAATAAATTCCATCATAATGTTTTGACCTACATCTTGTGCCCATTTAATCATAACTGATTTTACCTCTTCATCTTCCGTCTCCCATTCTAATAGTATGCTGTATGCGGCCTTCAGTAATTTCACTTTCCCTTCTATCACTTCCGTTTGAAACCTATGCAGCTTCTATGCAGTTTTAACAGGAAGTGGGAAAGGTGCCTCTGTCTGTGAAGAACCCATTCAGCTTTCATTTACTTGGATTTGGATTTTGGATTTGATATCCCGCTTTATCACTACTACTTTATCTCAAAGCGGCTAACAATCTCCCTTTCCCTTCCTCCCCCACAACAAACACTCTGTGAGGTGAGTGAGGCTGAGAGACTTCAGAGAAGTGTGACTAGCCCAAGGTCACCCAGCAGCTGCAGGTGGAGGAGCAGGGAATCGAACCTGGTTCACCAGATTACGAGTCTACCACTCTTAACCACTACACCACATTGGCTCCCTATCTGAAGCAGGCATGGAAGCAAGGAAGGACATTCATGTACCAACCAGATTATGCAAGATTGTTGCTATTTAAGGGGGTTAAATATTCAAAGAAGTAGTGTAAGTTTTAAAAATGGTTTTCACCAGTGCTCCCCCCCCCCCAGAAGAATAGGTGCTGGTACTCACCATGAAGTTGTTACAGTAAGTGCCACACTTTTTAACAACCAAAAAACAACTTGTGTACCCTCCTGAAAAGAAAGCACTGGTTTTCACCCAGAGTTCAGCACCCTGGACAGAAATATTCTTTGCAATGCACTCCCATTCATGGCTACTCTGGTAACTAAAAATTAATGATTTAGACCTAAAGAGCAAAGCACTTTCTGAGAATACATATTGGACCCAACAACCATCCTTGCAAAGAAAGCCCAATACTTGCTGTGCTCGCTGCCCCTGCACATCTATCCTCCTCAGAAATGGTGTCTGCATTCCTCAAGCTGTGAAAGGGCAAGCCAGGGCAGATATTCAAAGTGAGGGCTTCATCTCATGTCTATTCATCTTAGCTTTTTTGAGCCTCTCCATATGTATTCTCATGAATTCCTGGTACTGAGAAATTGAGCCAGACTCACCTCACCCCACTACAATTACCTTCAGGTCAATTTGTTATTTTTTTGTATGTTTATCAAAATATTCATATACTACTATATCATAAAAAAATGTCAAGGTGATTTATAGAAATACGTGTGTGGAATTAAAACACACAAGCCTTTAAAATCAAAGACCATCAACTAACCATGATGGGGAAAATGTTCTCTTTAATTGCCTGAATAAGCCTGGCAGCGTATAATTTTTTCAGCAGGCATTTAAAGGTTGAAACAAAAGGTACCTTCTGAATCTCAGGGCTGGGCTGATGACCTTAAAGGCTTGGTTTTTTCTTGTTGTCAGGTGAGCCTCATCAACTCAGGGGACAAAGAACGATGCTCCTGCAGATTACCTCAGTGATTAAACTGGGATGTAAAGGTTTCAGCAATTCTTAATGTACCTTGGACCCCCATTCCCCTCACAATTTCTCTAGAAAATTGAGATAAAAACTACTTATTTGGGGGGAATGGCACCTCCTGATGACTCTCAGCACCCTTATGGAACTACAGCTCCCTGACTGTTTAAAGTGGCACCATAGTGCTTTAAATGTTTGGGGTGAATATGGCCCATGACAGCTTCATATGAACAAATGACTGGGACGCATCAGTGGGAAGATTGTTGATGTTCTTGGGTCATGCTTGTACATCTTGTTGGCCATTGTGAGAAAAGGCTGCTGGATGAGCTGTGCCTTTGGCCTGCTCTCTTAGGTCTTTATGCCCAATGTGTGATGTCAAAACTAGATGGCAGGTTGTGGTGTTTGGGGTTTAATACCCCTGTGTGAATATATCAATAGGAGTCACCAGATGTTTTGCAACAACAAGCCTTTTAACTTGAGATCATTCCCGGTCTGCAGCTGTATTAGAATAGTTTCAATGATGTGTTTATTGTTTCATTGGGAAGAAGGGAGGGATATAAATTAGCAGCAGCAAGAATGCCCAATGGCCTCAGCCCAGTGTACCTGAAGGAGCGCCTCCACCCCCATCGTTCAGCCCGGACACTGAGGTCCAGTGCCGAGGGCCTTCTGGCAGTTCCCTCACTGTGTGAAGTAAGATTACAGGGAACCAGACAGAGGGCCTTCTGGGTAGTGGCACCCACCCTGTGAACGCCCTCCCATCAGATGTCAAGGAAATAAACAACTATCTGACTTTTAGAAGACATCTGAAGGCAACCCTGTTTGGGGAAGTTTTTAATGTTTGATGTTTTATCATGTTTTTAATATTCTGTTGGGAACCGCCCAGAGG